CCCCCGCGCCCCTCCCCTCCTTCCGCACTCTGGGATCTCCGTGCTTGGGGGAGCCTTGTGTATCGCTCATGCAATCCCCCGGCCTGGAGTGTCCTCCCTCCGGCACCGCCTTTCAAGTGCTGGCTCACATGTCACCTCCCCGGCCCCGGTTCTCCCTTCGTGTAGCCCCGAGGTCCCCTCCCTGGAGATCCCTCTTGGCCCCATCACTTCCTGCCTTGTTTTATAGACACACGTGCGAGGTCTTATCTTCCCCAGGGATGGGCTATACCTTTTGCACCCTGGACTCACCGGCACCTGAATACCGTGCAGGGCACACACTTTCAGCTCATTGAGTGTTTACCACTTAGACCCGAGGTGGACTGAGCTCCTCAGGAAGCCCTAAGCCTTTGGAGAACTGCTCCAGCCCGGCGCCGTGCGCAACAAGTCAGGCCCCAGCCCAGAGGGTACCCGGGTCTCTTGTCGGTGCCCCAGCCGGCACCTGAGGGGCCCCGGGCTGATCTGCCAGACCGCATGCTCCGCCCTCTGCAATCGGCTGTTGGGGCAGCAGCTTGGGTAAGTTCCCCTTCCGCTTCCTCCTGCCTCCCGTCCTACTGAGCTGCTCTTCCGTCAGGGGGGACCTCGCCAGGCTCTCCAAACCCTTGGAGCCCGCAGAAACGCTCCGTGCCCCGAGCTGTCACCAGCGCCGCCTCCCAGGCCCCGGACGCGATGCAGGCCATCAAGTGCGTGGTGGTGGGAGATGGGTAGGTACCTGGCTGAACGTCTCACCTGGCCGGAGCCGCCCGACTGGGTTACCCCGGAGACCCTCCCGCCCTGCCCATGTAGGAGTCCCTGGGAAGCAGCTGGGAGGGGCTGCTCCCTTCTTGTCCCCGGGGCCCAGAGAAAGCCCCCCAACCCCCGCCCCCCCAGGTGGGCAGAGGACAGCTCCACTCTCTTTGCCCACTTCCCTCCGGAAGCTGCCTGGGGGGAGGTGGTGGAGGGTGCGGGGCTGGGGGTAGATGTGCCCGGGGCCCCTCACCTACACCCTGAGAGCTGGGACAGGTCTCTTATGGGACCTGTCTTCCACTCTGTGGAGGCAGATGGGGCGGGGGTGGAGAACCAAGAACCTGGCCTTTCGTCCGCAGGCTGACCTGGGCTCTGGTCACTGGCTTGCTCTGCTGTGTGTCCTCAGGCAAGCTGCAGAGCCTCTCTGAACCTCAGCTTGCCCATCCGGGGAGAGGCCACGCCCCTGGGGTTGATGTGGGGGGGGGTCACCTGACATATTTCGAAGGGCTGTCCTGTGCTCAGGGTGCTCAATAAATATTACCCTCCTTCCCCTCCTCCCTCCCTGACTCTCCCCTCCCCCTCAGCCTGCCTGGTTGGGGAGGACGGTGCATGGGGGATGTGGGCAAAGAGCAGAAGGGGGAGGGGAACATGAAGGGAAGGGAGAGGGCAGGAGGGGTGGGAGGGTGATTGGGAGGGCCCGTGCCAGGTAGGCTGGGCCGAGGGGCCTTCTCAGCCGTGGGCCTCAGTCTCCTCATCTGTACAACGACTGGTCCGAGATGCCGATCTCTGATGCCAGCCGTAACAGCGTCTCAGGGTCCAGCCCACAGGGGCATCCTGGGTGCAGTCCAGCCTACCCCAGCATTTCCGGCTGGGCAGCCCTCCGTTCCCACCCTCCCATTCTGCAGAGGGGCAGCCTGAGGCTTTGGGAGGCTCAGCTCTTTCCTGCCCTGGGTCGCAGTGGCCCTGACACGATGGACCGACTTTGGCTCCGATGGGTCTGCTGGGAGCGGGTCGGTTTATCAGACGGCCCTCGGCTGATTCGGATGCGCTGGCCGGCCTTATCTGCCCGCCACTCTGCCCAGCCCTGCTCACTTCTGCTTTGTACCTAATCTGAGGCGGGGAGGGCAGAAGCCAAGGGCAACGTTCCAGTCATTCAAAGTTACCTTGGTGGCAGGCCCTGGGGAGGGCGGCGGTGGGGGAGGAGAAGGCGGCCAGCCTTCTCAGAACAGGAAGTGACGAAACGAGGGCCCGGGGGCCGCCCCCTTGGCCCCGGGCTTTCCATGGCGCTACCTGTATCCCCTCCCGGCCCAGCCGACTCGCAGACCCAGGGAAGAGGGCCCGAATTGTGGCCATGACTCTTCAGCGCTCACTGTGGGTCAGGCGCCGGGTTCTCCCCTCTCTCCAATCTTCCCACCCACCTCACATTAGGCCCATTTTACAGGTGGGGAAGCTGAAGCTCAGAGAAGTTAAGCAATCTGGCCCAGACCTCGTGGGGTTTGAGGCCAGCCTCTCTGACCCCCCAAAGTCTGTGTTCTTAACTGTTACTCTCTCCGGTGAGGTTGGGAGGGACAGGCTTTCCCGAACACGGACAAGCTGCTACGCTGTGTCACACATGGTGCTGGCCTCGTTTACAAGCTTCATCCTAATTTACTACTCAGCACACTCCTGGGAGGATGGACGCATCGCCGTTTTCTAGACGGGGAGACTGAGGCCCAGAGACGTGGGCCCGGGTCTCCCCCCAACCCCCGCCCCCCCCCCCCCCGCCCTGAGGCCTGGGCCAGGGGACAGCACAGGTGCTCAGAAACCTCCGTGTCTCGGGCAGGGCCCGTGACCGCTGTCCTCTCGAACTTTCTGCCTTTCAGAGCCGTGGGCAAGACCTGCCTTCTTATCAGCTACACCACCAACGCCTTCCCTGGAGAGTACATCCCCACCGTGTGAGTCCCCAGGGCGGGGAGGGCCGGGGCGCTGGGAGGCTGGGGAGAGTGGCATCCTGGAGCCCACCCCCTTTTCAGGCACCTCCTGTGTGGCGGCCCGTGTGGGCACCTGGGGGTCTCTGCCTGGCAGAGGTGCCTCATGATCCAGCCAGGAAGCAGCGATCGGCGTCGAGATGGTCATTGAGGGCGGGGGCCTGGGCCCCCGGGGTGGAAGAGACCGGGGAGCAGGCCGCTGTCCAGCCGGGCCTCGGCAGGAGGTGGGATGTGGGGCTGGGTCCCAGAAGAGGGGCTGGGATGGGGTGGTTGGAGGAGGGGGTAGTCGGGGGCCTTGACACGGGGGAGCAGACAGCAGACGCACGCACGCACGCACGCACGCTGTTAGGGGGGAGGGCAGTGCCCTCTGGAGGCCAGTGGGGAGCCCTGCCCTGTTGTGGGATGTGGAGGCGGGTATGTAGGAGTTCGTGGGTGGCAGCCTCGGGAGGGGAGGGTAAGTGGGAAAGCGCCTGCCCTGCCCCCACCAACCCTCAGCGGGTCCCTCCCTCGCAGGACAACTCCCCAACCCTTAGCACTGCATTCAAGGCTCTGCGGGGCCTTCTCCCCACCTCGCCTTCCGGCATCGTGGCCCATCACTTTGCTTTGTGTTCTGCCTGCTTGTGCCCACCAAACGCTCCCTGGGCATTCTGGCCTCAGGGCCTTTGCTCAAGCCGTTCCTTCTGCCCGGAGTGCCTTTCCTTCCCAGGCGTCTAAGACCCTCAGGCCAGCTCCGGTGCCCCCCCACCCCCCACTTCCAGGAATCTTTCTCATCCAGCCTGAAGGGACCTCTCACTCCCTCGAGTGACTGTATCTGATCCTTCCTGTGACTGTGTCTCTGGAGGGCAGGGAGCCTTGTACTCTACAGTCACCCCGTTATCTCATGCACATCGTCTTATACCTGATAGACTTGTTCCGTGTTGGCCTGAATTGAACTCCATGGAGAGGCCCTCGGAGGATCCGTCAGAACACGGGCCTACCGTGTCCTGCATGAAATGTCGCACATGTGTGCCCTCCCTCGGTCCTCAGGAGAGGTGGCCGTTATACCCAGGCCACCCACGGGGGAAGCTGCGAGCCTCACGGCGCCCAAGGGGCCTGCCCCCCAGGACGCCAAGCAGCCGGCCGGGCCAGGGCAAAGAAGCCTGGGTAGGGACCCTGGAAAACGGGCTTCAGCACCAGCTTGGCTTCCGAGTCCCCAGATGGCCTGGTGCCAGTGTCCAACCCTCCCTCTCTGCTCCTGCCGTATCCGTCCGTTTGCCATGGATCATCAAGTGTTTATCAGGCATCTCCTAATGCGGAGGCAGGACGGGCTCTAAGCCTGAGAGGGCGCAGCTCTCGCAAAAGGCCCTTGTCACCGGCGGTATCCTGGCCCGGCCTGCCTTCCTGCCTCTCTGCCTGTCCCAGCTGGGGGGGCCCGTTCGCTGAAGGACCTTAGACCAATCATTTCTCCTCTCTGAGCCTCCGTTTCCCTTTTTTATAAGGTCAGAGCTGGGCTGGGAAATCCCAGGCTCACCGCCGGGGCACCTCTCCTGGGCAGGGAGACGAAAGGCGTGCTCTCTGCTGCAAGACGGTGGGACCAGCAGAGGCCAGGCTAGGGCCAGTGGTTGCCAACGATTTGGAGAACCCGGGCTCCTGGTGGCCCTTGGTGGGCTCGGGATGCCGGACGCCCCTTGCAGACCGACAGATAAGAACGAACCAGGCAAGGTCTACCTTCCCAGGACTCTGGGGAGTTTGGGTCAGACCCTAGGGCCATCTTGAAATTCTTAACTTTTGAACAAGAGGTCTTGCGTTTTCATTTTGCATCGGACGCTGCCAAGTATGTGGCCAGTCCTGCATGCCACGCTCCTTTGTCGTCCGCGACAAGAGTCGCTCAGCTCTGGACAAGCCCTCCGAGAGGCTCCTACTACACGCCTGTTCCTCTGTGATGGGGAGGGGGAGATGAGTCACGCCGAGCCCTTGACGTTGGAGGGCGGGGGCAGCCGGGGAGAGTGGGGTTAGGGAAAACAGGAGATCCCTGTTTTCCTGGGGGGGGGATCCCCCTCCTCTGGGGACGGTCGGGTTTGCTGAGGCTGGGACACATGTGTGGCCAGCACATGGTCAGATGAGCAGGTGAGCTGAGCACAGTCATTGCCAGGCATGGGGGGTTGACAGCTCAGGGTCCAACAGATGGGGACTGGCGCTCTGTAGTGACTGGCCGCTCTGGCTACTTCGAGAAGGTGCCAGAACTCAGCCACCGCCGGGCGGCTCAGCTGGTGGGAGAAAAGAACGCCCGGTTAATTTCGGTCAGCTTGGCCAGGACTCGGTTTTCGTTTTCATTTCACGTCCTGGCAAGCCAAGTGTGGAATTCTGTGCACAGCATGGCGTCCAGCCCCTTCTGGGCTCTCGCTGCCCCCCGCCCACCCTCCTGCCGCCGAGGGTGTGGTTCCCTCGCTGGCCCCAGCTACCCTTCTCCAGACTTCTCCACCCC